AGGAAGAAAGGAAAGCACCTTGGAGTCTAAAGTTTCAGAACTTGACGATCATGAAACCAAAACTGGGTTTGGGCCAGAAGGAGCATCCATAGAGAAGGGCAGCACCTCAATAGCCCAGGGGTTCAGGGCCCAGACTGTGGAGCAGTGTGACCTTGGGCCACAGTTTTCTTATATCTGTAAAATGGGGATAATATGGACTTATCCCATAAAATCATTTTGAAGATTAAATGAAATAAAATATGTAAAGGGCTAACAACAGTGCCCAATACACAAGTTCTCTCTTTTTTTTCTGCCATTTCCTGGGCAAGGCCAGTGCTCAGAGTGGAGGACACAGCTCATACCTGAAGGAAGTTAAGGAGTGACGGTAGCAAGGAAGTAAAACTCCCTCCTCCAACAGTCAGGTGAGAGATCCCTGCAGGGATAGGAAAAGGAATGAAAAACCAAAAGGGAGGAGGGAGAAGAAAAGGAGTGGAAGGGGGTAGAGTGATTGGGAACACACACACACACACACACACACACACACACACACACACACACACACCGCGGTGGCAGCAGCAGCAGGGAGGGGAGGAACACATTGGGAGCACACACACACACACACACACACACACACACACACACACACACACACAGCGGTGGCAGCAGCAGCAGGGAGGGGAGGAAATCATCTGAGATCAAATAAACAATAAGGAAGAGAAAAGGGCAAGAAAGAAATAGAGATATTGGGCCAGTGATAGATTCTTCTATGTTGGAATGGGAAGAACACCGGGTTTGGAGTCTGAGCCCTGGGTTCTTCTGCCTCTGACTGTATGTCCTCTTGGCTAAGTGTCTTTGGTAAAGTCATTTATCCCCTCAGTCTCATTTTTTAAATCTGTGAAAGTGAAAATAGTAAGGCCAACCTCACAGAGTTGTTGGGGCGATTAAAGTAGAGCATTTCATGGCTGGGGGCTGAACACCGGGTAAATGCACGGGGAAACTTCAGACCTTTAGCGTTTCAGAACGCAGAGAGCAGTAGGAGAGAAGAAGCCCTCCGCCTCGCCTTGCAGCGTCAGGGCAGGAGAGGAGCGAGGCAGTGGGCGGGAAGACTGGCCTGGAGAATCTGGGGACAGATAAAGGAAACTCGTGATGGGGCGAGGCTGGGCTGAAGAGAAACAGATTGGGGAAGAGCTGCAAAGGGAGGGTCCGCGGACGGGGAGGTGGAGGCTGGAGCGGGAGAGGGTGGGAAGGCAGAGAGCGACGAGAAGGCAGAGTGAGAAGAGAAGCCGGCTGTAGGAAAGGGGGTTGGAATGCAGAAGGCACTTGGGGAAGGAGGAAGTTTTGAAGGCGGGAGGGAAAGAAGAGAGGGAAAATGGGGATTCAGTGGAGGCGGGGGCCAGGCCTCCAGAGGAAAGAGGACCCGGGGAGCAGACGAAAGAGAAAAGAAGCGGTATATCCATCGTCAGAAGAGGTTGGGAACTTCGAGGAGAGAGGTTGGGGCCTGGAGGAGAGCGCAGCAGCTTTTAGCATCCATCCAGATGCCTGGCCTTTGCCTGACCTTCAGGGTCGGAGACAGACGCGCTGTCTTTGTGGAGAGCGGTACCTACCGAGAGAATGGAACTGTTTAGGGCTGGGCCCTGCGCCTGGCGCGCGGCGAGGCTTCTCTGGCCCTGGGCTAAGCCCCGAGGGGAGCGAATGGACAGCCTGGAAGTTGACGCCGAGGAAGGAAGGTACCACCGCCCAGAGCTTGCGCGCAGTCCGCTACAGTGGTGGCTGCTCCGAGCTGTCTCTGGAGGGCGCCGCTGTCACTTCCCTCCTACGGGGTCTCATGCTCCTGGCAAACTGGAGGACCCAGATACCGCGCTGCGCTGCGGAGGGACCTAGTTTCAGACAATGCTAGGGAGACCCTGGTGCTGCTGGTGCCCCTGGCTTCCTCGTCGCGGGGTGGCCGCGCCCGCCTTCCCCTACCTAGAGCCCGGGGCCAGCTCTGCGCGTACCTCCCAGCAACCCCGCGCGCGTCCCGCGGGGGCGCTGCGTATCCCTGCCACACCGGCACACCGCGGCCCCTCTCCCCTACACCTCCGGCCCGCACCGCCAGGCCTCTCCTCCCACCCTCCGCTCCCCTCCCCTCCCAGCTAGGGGCGGGAGGGGGCGTGGCAGGGCCGGGGTTTGTGTGACTGGGACCCGGCTCCTCGCACTCCGAATTAGCCAGAGGAGCCGGGCCCGGCCGCTGTCCAGCCGCTTCGTGCCCCCCGCGCCCTGCGCTGCCGCCTCTTGGGGAGACGTTGCCACTCGCTCGCCATGGATACTCCCAGGGTCCTGCTCTCGGCTGTCTTCCTCGTCAGTTTCCTGTGGGATTTGCCCGGTTTCCAGCAGGCTTCCATCTCATCCTCCTTGTCCTCAGCGGAGCTGGGCTCCGCCAAGGGAATGCGAAGCCGCAAGGAAGGGAAGATGCCACGGGCGCCGCAGGAGAGTGCCTCGGCCCGGGAGCCCCTGGAACGCCAAGAGTCACAGCCGCGGCCGCAGGATGAGTCCCGGCGGCGGCCACCGCAGCAGCCCCAGGCGCAGGAGCTTCTGGACAGGGCCCCGCGCGTGGTGCCCCACGAGTACATGCTGTCAATCTACAGGACTTACTCCATCGCCGAGAAGCTGGGCATCAATGCCAGCTTTTTCCAGTCTTCCAAGTCGGCTAATACGATCACTAGCTTTGTAGACAGGGGACTAGGTAAGTGGCAAAGAAGATGCCCGACTCCTTTCTCCTTGGAGCTCCGCAGCCTGGGCGCTGCTCCAGCTCTGGTAGAAGGTTGCATTTGTGAATTCCCTTCTCGCTCTGGACATCTCCCCCTTTCTTACATTTTTTATTTTTTTAATTTTTTCCCTCAAGCCCTAGTAAGTTTCTGGATGCGGCTGCAGATTTAATTAGTTTGCAATCCTCCCTCGCTTCCTTCTTTCCCTTCTTTCCTTTCTCTCTCCCTTCCGTCCTTCTTGTTATCTTTTTCAGAAAGCTGCGTGGTGGCCGCTCCTCTGGTGGCTGGTGGAGGAAGCGTGGAGGACGGGAGGTGGCAGGCAAATGATCCGGGCTGGAGAGGGGTCGCGGCGGGGACTGACGGAATCCGTACCATGGGGTCCCGGGTGGTGCGGGGTGCGTGGTATAAGGCCTGAGCTGCCAGGGGGACCCGGCGGGCCCTGGGGCGTGAGTGAGCCTTGGAAAGCCCCGAGTCCTCTTCCGCTCCGGGAAAAGCCGGCAGAAGCGAGTCTGGAGGTCGCAGGAGCGAGTCCGCGATTAGCGTGTGGCAGTGCCCTGGCCCCGCGGCTGCAAGGGTTCTCCGCTCGTCCCTGTGCTGGTTGTGGGGATGCTTGTCGTCAACCCGGCGGGAGCCCAGCGCCCTCGGGCTTTCTTGCTCTTGAAGCGCGCCGCGACCGAGTGGCGGGGGCAGCAACTGGCAAGTCCGGCCGGGGGCAGGGGTAGGGCAGCTAAGTTTGGGAGTTTGTTGGTACACATGAATGCACGGGTGTGTTCATCCATCTCTCTCAGCCAGCTAGCGCTCCTCTCTCTGTGCTCCTACCAGGGCGCCTGTCACCGGTCCCCTCTGCGGGCGCGGGTGCCTGGGTAGGTGTCTACGGAACCCCTGTACCCCCTTCTTGTTGCCTATGTAGCACCGCAGCGCAGCGACTGCTTTGGAGATAACCTCGCGCTTCCCCCAGTCCCAGAAATTAGGGAGGGATCCACAGGCGCCGGAACTCAGCTCCTGAAGAGGAGAGACAATAACGTGGAAGGAGACAGAAAAGGAGGGAGAAAAAGAAAAGGAAGGGTAAAGGGAAAGAAGAGGACGAGAAGAAAGGAAGGAGGAGAGAAGCGGGATTTAGGCAGTTATCTGCTCTGCCACCCTGCCCGGACTTAGCTCCGCGCGTTGACGGGTTCCCAGCCTTTCACTGCCGTCAGTGAAAGTTGGGGTCGCCCAGGAACCTGCGAGCGCCGGGGTTCGGCTGAGAGGGCTGCTCCACCAGGGCTGCTTTTTGGGTACCCGCACGTCCTCGAAGCTTTTTAGAGTAGGCTGACGGCTTGGGGCTTCCCGGGCTCCAGACCCCAGCCTCCTCCTTTGCAGCCACCTTCTTTGTGGGCAAGGGTCTTGCCCTCGCCAGGTTCGCCGCTGCAGCCGGAGGTCAGCGAGGTTCATGAGCTGCTGAAAGGTCCGGGCGGCAAATTAACGCTGGGTATTTTATGGCGATTTTAGGATTACTAAAGTCTTCTTTGCAAATACACGTGGCTTCTTCATAGCGCTGGAACTGGGTCCCTGGCCTCCGTGCTGCCAGCGCAGCGCGCCAACTTCCCTTCACCTCCCCCATCTCTACCTCTGTCTCCCTCCCTCCTAATCTTCTGTTTATCGTCTGCCTTTTCCACCACCCTAGTCGAAGGAGGGACTAAGGACGCTCAGAGAAAATTGCTCAAGAAGCCTTTCCCCAAGGGAAGAAATCCCGGAGGTCCAGGCTGGAGGGTGGTTGGGCAAGCACTTTCTTTTCCCGGAAGGGAAGTTTCAAGAATCTCTGCCCCTCCCCCAAGCAGGCACCCCTAGCTGGTTCTCTGCACCGAGTTTGGCACAGGACCAAGAGACCCTGCAGGCGGTTCAGAGGTGTCTACCGAAGCCTGCGGCATTCAAGCAAGTGTGGGGGAGTTTCTGGGGGCTTCAGGTCCGGGGCAGGCACAGGCTGGTTTCACCCTTGCATGCGCCGCAGCCCCTCCAGGGGCACTATGCTGGGCGCCCCGGGGCGCCGGACGTAGGGAAGGGCCTGGCTGTGCGCCCAGGCTGGGGTGGGGGTTGGGGGCCTCTGTTCCCGAGCCAAGGTCTCCAGGCTAGCCGGACCGAGATCCAGACGTCCGGTTTCAACTCCGGAATGCCGTCGAGAGCTGGAGCTGCACGCGGTCCCCAGCCAGAGGAGACACGGCGTGAACACCTGGACCGCAGCCTCAAAGGTGCGGTTTCCTCCACGCCCTCACGTTCCCAGAAAACGCGAAGAAAGGCAGTTTGTCGACTGAGAAGGCTGTGCGGCTAGTCGCACGCCGCGCGGGGGCGAAGGAGTGCGGAGCCGCGGGCTGGAGGGGGCGCACAGAGGAGGGGGAACAGTGCAGGCTACAGCCCCAGCTTGATAAAGGGAAAGCCTCACTTTCCCTCTCACTGATTTTGATTTGATGTGTCACCGGCGGTGACCTCGGGCTGGACCTTCCGGGGCTTGCTTAGCATCGGGCCCCTGATTGGAGTGTTTCAACTCAGCGATCTAATTGAGGGTACATGTCATAACACATCAAACGGTGTCTAGTCTCCCGTGATGGAAGGGACCCGCCAGCCGCGCATCCCCGGCTCCTGGCGAGGACTTCCGCCCCTCTCACGTGGGGACTCTTAACCGCGCTAAACCCTCCAACATCCCCTCCCCCAACCAGTGGATGGCTGGGCAGGGAGGAAGGAGCAGCGGCCAGCCAAGAGCTGGGCCAGCCGCGTTAATTTGGCGCCTTGCCTCGGGGATATTTAAATCGCCATCGAATATGGCAGGCTTGGTTGGTTTCGAGGAGCAGGGGTCCCTCGGAGAAAGGAGGCATGAACTACTTATTCACGTACAGTATTTGTAAAAAGGTTTCCTCACCCAGGAAACTGGAACCCCAAAAGTTACACCTGAAGCCTGCGATTAAGAGTGGGAGGGCGCGGAAAACCTCTGTCCAAAGTGAATGAAGAGCGCTTTAGGTCTATTAACACAGCACGTTCTGTCCTACCTCCCCGCCACCAATGCCATGAGGAGAACTTATTACAGGTTTTTTGTTTTTGTTTCTAATGTTCCTTCTTTTAGTTTGCTCTCCAAATACTTAGAGGTATTTGAGCATTTACTTTGTACCAAATGCTGTGCTAAAATCTGTTCCAAAAGTTATTTCCCTTAATTCTAACAACAATCCCTGGGGGAAGTGCTGTGATCACTGTATTACAGGTGAATTAAGGAAGACAAAGAGGTTAACCAAGTTGCTCAAGGTCACACAGCTAGTGAGAGATCGAAGCTCATCTTTGGTTCTAGACCCTGCGTGCTTGCTTATGGCACCATATGGATAGGGTAAGGGGTGAGGAAGTTCCTAAAGGATGGTGGCGAGAAGCAGAAGTAAAACAATGGGCAGATTTCCTAAGTCATCTAACATTCCTCTGTAGACACAGTTAGTAGTTGGAGTGGAACTTTGGATTTAAGGGTCTGACTGTGCAGTTCCTCTGTGCAGTTTCCTCTTTATATTCCTTGTAAAAGGCATGTTACCCCCGATCTTTTTAAATACCTCCATATTGTGCTTTAAAATGATATGCGGTCCATAAAGATGAGAAAATTTGTACCTATGTGTGTCGGTGCAGTCCTAGGACCGGAATGGACCAGATTGGATATAGGGAAATTACAGTTAGCTCAAGATATAACTCATTAAAAGACTGGACTCCATACCCCGAGGCCTGAGAAAGGCAGACAATTAGAATTTCTATGAATTCAACATGCCTGAGAGATAGAGGGGGGAGGGAGAGAGAAACAAAACTCGAATATTCAGTTTATGAAGCAAGAAGTGCCACGAAGTTCCAACGAGAGGGACGAAAAACCTCCCAAAGATGAGGAAACCAAAATGAGTCTAAGAATATTGCTATGAGTTGGGTTTCCAGAAGATTTTGAAATAAAAATCCTCTTTAAAAATATTTTTGGTGGTCGTTGTCACAATAGTGCTCTCAGAAAGAAGGCAATAGGGAACAGATAAAAACCAAAACGAGATCGGAACATCCTTGAACCCTAGAAATGAATCTCAGGAGAGTTTGCTGCTGATTGTTTGTTGGCTTCTAGGTTTACCTTCTAGGTCGTGATTATCAGGGGGCAGGGGCAGGACAACGGTGGGGTAGCCGGGCTACAAGGAGGGCATTCTAAGAGCCGCATAGTCCCCCCAACCCCCTCGATTGAAGTTTGTCTGGTACAGCATGTTTATGCAAAACAGAGAGTTTCTGGGTGGACCTGGGCCGCAGAGTGGTGTAATCAAAGCAGCAGCGCTTTTGCCCGGACCCTGTTGTCGTTGGCAAACGGAAAATGAAATATAAGCAGGGAAGTATTTTAATGGGGACGGAGGGAATTCACAACTGTTAATTATTTGGTGACCTTGTATTCGATTTGTTTGAGTCCCTTATAAAAACACTAATGCAGACCAGACGGCCAAGTGAAGGAGCCGGCAGAAGGTTCCAATCTAGGCTTTATTTCCCCGGAAAGGGGGCAACAGCCTTGGAAAAGGATTGCTGAGCATTCAAGTGTGTGCGTGTGAGGGCGAGCCCGCGTGTGCGCCGGCGCGGGGTTCGTGTCGCCCTGCAGGTTTAGGACCCTCCACCGGCCAGGTAAACTGGAAGGTCCTGGAAAAAGCCCGGAGGTAAGGGAAGGAAGCCTTAACCACAAGTTTGTTCTGCTCTTCTGGTTGGAGTGATTAAAACACTAAGGCCACAAGCCAACCCTTTAGCCATTGGCTTGTAGTTAAAAATCAGTTGTCACCCCCATCCCTAAGGCCTTAAGGGTCGCCTTAGCAAGAAGCTAGGAACATCTAGTGTCTTCTGCAGCAAGAATGCAAGTTGCACCCGAATTCTGAGCGAGCTTCCTGGGCAGGGGAGGCTAATCTGAGAAGGACACGGGGCGTCACCCCCCACTCCCCAGCCCCCATCTCCACGCGGTAGGTCCTCTGGCTCC